TTTTATTGTCAAGAAAGAGATCTTTTGTTCGGGCTAGTGACCATTGGATTTGGCCGACCTACACGACCATCTTTTGGGGCCAGATCTGGCAATATCATGGAGACAGATTCTTTTGGATAGGTGCAATCCATTGATAATGATAAATCAAATTTCTGCATGCTTTTCACTGATATGATTTTTTAGCCAGATGGTCATGAGTTATATTAGGAACGGGTCGCCCCCACGCCGTTTTCCTTTGACTTCAAATTAACGTTATTGGCCAGCTAACTTAGGCAGTTTACCTTCTAAAAGTGTTGTGCCGAACTCAATGGCAGTTAGTGAAAACCAACTAATAATCGTGATCAGCACATACACTGGTAATCATCCCTTACAAGGATAACCCCCCAGCATTTCCTGCCGGCTTTCTCTCGTTGCTTGGCTTAAATAACGAGGCAAACTATCGATTGAAGTACAGTAAATTCCCAGTTATCGGTTTCCCGCCGATTCAGTGTCATCACTGTTAGTTACCTTTTACTCATTAGGCGGTTAATAGCAAATTCATACCACGGAATTTGGGTTTTTAAAGGTGAACTTCGGCGGCTGCCAAGCGTTTAAAGCATTTGAAACATAACACAACTCGGCGGTTACCAGACAACACTTAACTCAGTATAGCGTTTTTATTAAATAAACGGACGTGTACGACGAGATGGTCCTTCCGAGTTTTTAGGACTTCAATGTTTATGCATGCATTGTATCATTTACTGAAGAACTGTAGTTCGCCAATGACTTTTTTTCATATGATCTCCACGCATGGGCTGCTATGTTCTGTCCTTATTAGATTTAGAAAACCTTACCTCGACCTACATCTACTAGCGGGCTTTAACTACTGAAAATGTTATTCGGATCAAGGTAAACAAAAATTTGACCCTCTCATGATTTGCTTGGTTTTAGATACGGATACAATTTCGACTGGTCGCGGAACCGTGCCATATTAAAGCAGCTTGTCAAAGATAATATTGATATTTCAATGCTCAAAGATGAGATGTCGACCACTTTACAGCAGAGGGGGAGAAAAACGTAAGTTAGTTATATTTCCCAAGTGTTATTTCACCACGGAAGTTTTTGTCATGCACATCCTGCACGACATTACCAACCTGGTGGTGTAACCTTCATGGTGATGGCAGGCTGTGATACGGCGCTGAGTTATTTTGTACACAGAGCTTGCATCCAAAACCTCTGATGTAATTTGTGTGACAGAATGTTACCCGTTAAAGTCCGATTTCAAAATGAGCAACCGCGTTCCCCCAGTTAATTTGAGTACTTTATGTTGGCGTCTGCATGGAAAGTTTTTGGGGGATGACTACTTGCGAATAGTCAGGTGACTTCTAAATTTTCGCTTTCCATAAAAAGGATCAATCAATCCGTAGGTTTTGGGACCAGAATTTACTCTAATGGCTTATGTTTTGAGTGTAGTAGCATTCGTAACAAGGTATTTGAGCCCGAAGGTCAGATTTCTTACCCACATATGAAGCGGACTTTAGTAAACTTGTATATGTATGTGTATATATGTGTACATGATTCCCAGCGGGTAAAACCGTTCCTAATATTTCCTATATTTCCCATGGATATCTACCTGGAACGCCGTTGTTTTCAGTAGCTTCCACCGTTTGCTTATATAAGTGACGTACCATTGAAGGAGCTAGGATGTCCTTCCTGGAAGTTTTCAGACACGCGCGAAATTATGTCCCTGTACTTTTACTGTAATTAACAGATCAAACTGGGTGAGACGATCTGACTGGTGTTTGAGCCGTGGGTCCTACCTGAATTGACTGGGTACACTTTATAACACCATAGTACACCATACCTTTATCAGTATTTTGGGGGATCGTCCGCAAAAGTGCACCCGTATGCATGAAAAGCTAATGACTTGTCAAAAAAGGTGTCATTCATCTTTGGCTTATTAGCCATCCAACATGAATTTATGTGCTTAAAAATAAACCGGCTAACTAGTAGTTCTGCGTCTTGTACGTTTTTGCCGACGAGCAATCCTAATCTTGGTTTGAAAGTATTCTGCAGTAGCTCAAAAGGAAGTAATTTGTAAACACCGCCTTCTATAACTGGGGTTTTAGGGATTCCTTTGGTGTTCTTTGACCATCTGAAATGTCTCAAAGAGCATCGAACAAAACAGTTGAGATTGATATTACTGTTCTGAGAGTAACTTCAGATCTGTGTCAGTTTGTTTCCCCTCCCAGTATGTGGATTCATCATCTAAAAATAAAGATAAAATTTAACACAGTGGAAAATACAGTGCTGATGTTTTCGTGTTCCTAGGCACGAAATTATTCTTCATATGACTGCTCCGTGAATGTGACTGCATGACCTTCATCTAATCACGACACCAGAAAATTGAGGAGTCGCGTGAACAACACCAAACATCCGGTTGGTCTAATTAGCCAAAGATAGTTTAGGGCAAAATGTCTCCACACATTTTACTACTCCATTCTGGGCCACTTAATTACTGCTTTTCAATATTCTTTTGAGATTCGTGTGGATACTATCCGAAAAGTGTTTGAACGTGTTAACATGGAAAATATATAGTTTAAGTTTATCTACTCTCAGTTGGAGGCAGTGGGGACATTAGTTGGCGATGTGTTGTAATATCCACTCGGACAAGTTGGTTCCATTATGACCTAAATAAACAGGTAATGTGAGTAATGAGATGAAATATTCGTTCCCCTAAATGCATGATCAGTGTGACGGAAAAGACACCAATAGTGGTTTGCCCAGTTTGTCTCAGATACATTGAGTACATATGTTGATGAAAATAAAGGTTGCTTGAAATGTTCTGATGCAGCAGTCTGCTGAATACCACGGAGACCAGATTCAAACACGTCGAAGTCGAATACTAGTCCACAACCTTATGATCTTCAGGTGGTTACGTATGAACGGAACAACACGTGATAGCAAGTATGGCTTCATTTCAAAAGAGGTGAGTAATGGTATTCACCCTCAAAGTTGAACAACGAGTGGGATTCTAGAACATCCCGCTGGGGGAGTAGATATCAAAAATTGCGTGCAACAGTGAAAAATGTGATAAAATAAAACAAAAAAGGGCTCCAGTCCACTCCAGTCTAACGTTACGGTAAAAATTAGAGCTAATGCCGTTATTAGTCGAGCAGAAAAGCTGTACAGGTAACTGTCGGGCACGACGAAGACTTGAGATTTCATGGTTATAGCATATTCTAACTCTTCTGTATCAGTAATGCTCACACCCACCCTTTATCCATTATCCAACCTCTCAGCTGGCAACAACATCTGCTCACAATTTTGAGAAGTCATATGATGCAAATTATCCTGTCACTCCTTGTTCTACTTGATGCTGGAATCGTTATTACCGAAATTGTTCTGGAGATTCAATCACTTCAAAGTGAGTTTCTGGTAAAATAGTAGAGAATTTTATGACTACACAATTTCAGTAGCTGCTTCTGCTGTGTGTGAATCTGAAGCTCATTAGAAGCTTTGATCAAACACTGTTCCCCATCATCATCATCATCATCATCATCATCATCATCATCATCATCATCATCATCATCATTAGGTTTGAGCAGGACAAGCCGAAACTATATGAAGGAATGCCACTGCTGAATAGGTTATTGGACATGGAGAAAACCTTTAGGCTGCTCTGTTGCTGACTTGGACTAGGATATGCAGCAAATAAGTATATTATTATTCAGAGAATAAATTTCTCGACGCCATACTGAACTCTGAGGCTGATAATTGTTACACTACGATACGCGATACACGATTGTGCTGAATCGGAATAAGACTTCGCGATTTTGTCGGACATATTATCGTGCAATACACAATACTAGGCTGATTTCTAGTTAATGATTTCCCTTTCTCACAACGATTTTATCCGAAATCAATCGGAAACTTAAATGTGGCAGCCGGTGAATTCGTGTCAGATTACTTCAAAAAGTCGTATTTATTTTTAACCACCGAGTTTTATATAAATGAACGACGCTGTTCTTTGAATTTGGTTCATTTCACCTGTTGAATTGGTTCATATACTGTCAGTCAATCAGTTTGTTTACTACCACGAAATGCTGGTTGATATGTGTGATCGAAAAAAAATGTGCAAGTGCAGTTGTGTGAACATTTGTTAGCAACCGAAGGCAAAGCGCGTAAAGCAGACACTCAGTGTCTGGTCCGCTGTCAATATCGTGTGCCCAAATTTAGACTGCCGGACTGCGGTTCAAAGTAAACGGATTTCAGCAAGAGCTTATGGCCTTATTTTGCCAACTATTAACCCATTCACTGCCTCATGTTGTGAGTTAAGATGACACATATTTTTCGCCTTTTCTCCTTAAAATAATTTCCAGTCAAGCAAAACATGTTGCCAGTTTTGAAAGCCCTATGGATTTAAAAACAGTGACGTTTACAATGGCGGTGCTTATGTTCCCGTGTATGCAGTTGAGGCGTGAGAGAGGCGCACACTACTTCACCAATCATCAAACTATAGGGACACTCACATAATGTCGAACTACTAGGAAACAGTTTCCTGCAATCTGGTTTTTCTTCAGGAAAATTCCACCTATATTTTCCAAAGCATTCACGTGGATTGCAGGCGCCCTCTGTACGTCACGTTTCATTGAACTGCTAGATGCCTGTGGGTTACGGTGTAGCAGCCTACGAGTACAGTATGAGTCCTAAGGAATGACCTTGATTACAAGCATGGACACGGTATTACTCTTAAAGCCTCTTGCAACATACTGAATAAAAGGGTTTTGTGTCATTCCACTCATCATTACATCCAACTTCCCAAGGTGTGACAAAATGCGATCATGCGCCCAAGACTCCGTCCGAGACAAATCTCTTCTTACTCAGTGGATAAGCTGCAGTATAAGTGTGGTTGTTGTCTTCCGAGATTTCATGCAAAGTTGCCTCAAGATTTCCCATGAGTTTCGCAACTGACATAGAATTGGAACAGGATCTTCCAGTGTTCCTCCGGGGTCGTCACGTTCACAGATCAAACATCCTTATGAATGTACCGTTACTACTTCGTTTTTCGCCAGCAGATTTCGCTTGAGAATCAAGACTTGATGGTCCATGGATGAGTCACGCGTATATGTGTAGCGTTTCGCTAAGTACCCCTGCCCACGACAAGGATTGTTAATTACCTGAAATAACAATCAATTTCTGTGGAAACAGCTGAAGTTTGTCATTTCCTTCATCCAGCAGAGCCCCACACTGCGGTTTAAGTAACACTTGTTTGCGATACGATTCAGTGTGTTGATTTGAGTGATCCAACCAGCTTCATTTCTCAGGGATCAGGCTACATTTAATTCCATTTATTTTCGCCATTTGAAAACCTTGTGTACCGAAGCCTTGGTCAATATAATTAACGTTTCTAAATTTCCACAGATATTGCAGAGGTGATCAGACAAGTATTAAATGCAACACTGGTGCAACGTACAGGATTGTGCAGATGTATGTCTACTCCATCACTTGACAGCCAGCTGTGGTATATCTAAGGATATATATATATATATATATATATATATNTATATATATATATATATGGACGTGAAGCTCCACGCAGCCTTTGCTGCACGACGGATTTCCCGCCTGTGGTCTACGCTAAACTAACACAGGGTTATGAATTAGGACCACTATTGACGCTAGTTGACAACCATGGTAAATGGTAAAAGTGTTGACAATATTTCCATCCAACCTTGAGCCACCAAATTGAGTCACTGTGTATTATCACGTTACTTAACAAGCCAGGTTAACGGACGATCATTTTCAGTCGCAAACAGATGAAAATTAAAGAATTAGGTAGAACTACCGTCCCTATAATTAGCGTAGGCAAGAACATCATTCAGATCCTGATGCGAAACTTTTTATCACCCGAATAGTAAAAGCAACGACTATTACACGCTGGTAAGCAAAAGTACACAAAAAATCTCAGTTGTCGGCGTTGCCAAGTGCGCAAGGCTGTCACTAACTAGCACAGCCTAGCGGCAATGTCTTTTCATCGGGCAGAGGTCAGTGGATTATTGGCTCGGTGGTGCACCAGTCCCGTGATTCCAAGTGGTAGTGCGTTCACGGCCGCCACGGCAGAACTAGTCAGAGCAGGCCAAGCAAACGAACCACGAGCGAGTAGGCTACTGACTCACAAACATTCCAACATACCAGTGTCGAGTGGGCTGACTGTGGAGCAAGGTAAACGGTTGTTATGACGGAGCAAAGCACGTGATCAATAAGCACACGGACAGTCAGTAAATAACGAACGGAGGAGCTTTCGTGCCGCCAAGTCAGAAACCGGAATCGCTAGGTACACAATTTTGAGTGCGATAAGGATTTAGACACTGTTAAGGTTTACACTGTATTTTGTGTTGGCAAAGGAAACGACTGTCTGTCTGCAAGGTGACTAGCGCATATCTCTCGAGCATTCGTTACCGAATGGTGTTTTGTTGATATTTAAAACAGTCCCTTGGTGTAAAAACACCTCATGATGGAACAACAGTTTTGCCCGATATTCCCGATTTACCCAACTGTCTCATCGGGCGCGTACTGCACATTACAACAAAATCCAAGTAAGAAAAAAACGTCAAAAACTTTCTTTACAGTTTACCACTTTTGTCCCGGTTTTTGGTGTACCCGTAGACTTCCTGTGCGTTGGTGAGATAAGTGCTGTTTAAGGAAACCCACAAAAGACCGAGGAGTCTTGGATTGGTAACTTATTGTTGAAATATGTTCTCCGCAGTTGGCAACTAGTGGAGTGTTTTTGAATGCTTGCTTTAGATGAGTTGTACCTGCTTGAACCTACTAGTTTCTGCGTCCACCCTCTGAATTCGACATACACCCGTAATTCCTCATGACTTTTTGACCTCTGACATGCCCAAACAGTTTCCGTAAACTTTTATCGCGTGGCTTTTGACCACCTGCGTTATCACGTGGTGTGCGCGCATTTGTGTTTGCGCACATGTCGACTTGCTGTTGTCTCCTGGTTTTCCTCGTATTAGCACCAATGTGTGCAACGATTTAGACAAATTCCTGTAATGTGAGCCGCAGTTGGCAACTAGTGGAGTGTTTTTGAATGCTTGCTTTAGATGAGTTGTACCTGCTTGAACCTACTAGTTTCTGCGTCCACCCTCTGAATTCGACATACACCCGTAATTCCTCATGACTTTTTGACCTCTGACATGCCCAAACAGTTTCCGTAAACTTTTATCGCGTGGCTTTTGACCACCTGCGTTATCACGTGGTGTGCGCGCATTTGTGTTTGCGCACATGTCGACTTGCTGTTGTCTCCTGGTTTTCCTCGTATTAGCACCAATGTGTGCAACGATTTAGACAAATTCCTTGTGAGTGAGCACCAAGACTGCAATTCTTGGCTTGCGATTTAGCGCATCACTCAACCGAGCTTCTTGAGCAGGTGGTCGAGCAAAGATTTACTTCTCTCATTTCGGCACCTAGTTTTGTGCAAGTACCTCAGGCCAGACATCCTACGAAATTTCAATAGAATTTTACGTCCCAAAGCCTCAGAAACTAGCATACCAGGTCAGCCATCAAGATCGTATGCATACTGTTCCTGCAAATCGATGAGCACATGTTTGTCTCGAAACCATTGCAATATTTCGAAGTAAAAAGATGTCACCAGGCCTCTTCCTGGTAAAATCATTCTGTGCGCTCACAACCACAGTATAAGACCCAGAACTGGAAAAAGGAATCGTCAAACGCCCCCTATAAACTGGAAGTTGTACAGGCATTATTTTCGTGTGAATATATCATATGGAGCCCATCAGGAAACCTATCACCGAAAACATTTGCAACCAGCAACCAAGGAGAATCACTTGTCATATTCTAAACCTAAAGAATACGGCTTACCCGACACGAATAAGCAAAAAACCACCCAGTATTGAAAACTGAACTGCTTGACTAGCAAAACTATACCAAAACACCGATCCACCTGGTCACTTGTAAAGCTTTTTAGTCGAGAGCTAACAGCTCCTATCGATGCTCTCAGGGGTAAACACCCATATCCTTCTGAAAAGATGACTATGTTTGCCTTGATAAATAACTTCAGTTTGCATTCAGAATGTCCCAGTACGTTCTATTCACTCGTTGTTCGCTTTTTCGCTTGTACACTTATGGGGATACTTGATAAAAACCTTCTAGAGAAAAAAGCTGTGCCATCATGCTGATCACCGTCTCACTGGACGTCCAGTCTTATTTGTATGAATATTGTCCTTACAATAGCTTCCTATGTGTAATTATCTTTGTGATGGAACCATTTTCCTCCTTACATTACACACTTAACATACGTGCACGAAAACGACAATCAGATTTTTAGACACGAACGCATAAAAATGGTATCGTGAGCCCGCATAATTTAAGCAGTATATGGAACCCATAAAATATTTGGTCGGCGCTAAAGAATAGTGAGTACCGGAGCTACCTTAAACCTAGTTTGTCGCCTACCTAGTTTTAGCCCGAATACACTGTAAGATGACATGCACAATCTGTTTAGTTCAGTGTGACCGATCGACACCCTGCATAGACCATCCGTACTAAAGCTTTTATGATAGGATTTTTCATTCACTGTTTCTCCCGTGACACCCATTTGTGCTTCATTCGGAACACCATCTACATCCCACATCAAAACTCAAACTTTTCTCTTGTTTGAGGTTACAAGAACAACTTTCGCCACCGACTCAATGACATTCGGCAAATACTCTGCACTATCGTTGAGATAAATACGCCAAATGGTCAACCACATCCCAGCTGTTCATTACCATGGCCATCCGAAGACTGCAACAGCACAAAACACTATGGACTCCCAAAAATATACCATGCTATCGACGGAAAGTTGCGTCATCCTACCGCCGAATCAGTGGAAGTAATCGGGCCAAGCGGGACAGGTTCCAGTTATTTTCATCCTCAAAATTCGGGCACCCACCGGTCCCCTGATGCAGAACTACTGCAATCTGTGACCAGCCTCATCAACTATTGGGAATCCGTTTATAGTAATCATCAATTCCATTGTGTGATGCGAAGCAACTCAGATGCATCAGGTAGTACTAAATGCCTTGCATTGTCCCTGGTCTATTCAGAGTGTGACCCACCATGCATACACATCATATAATCGTATAATCCTTACAAACTCAATCATCTCAGTGTGAATTCTGATCATCAGGTCGGATTACTTGTAGGACATATTGGCTTCAATCATTATCTCCGGGCGTCAGCCCGTAACAGATATACAAATTAGCAAAGCAGTTTCTCTCCAGTCCAACTGATCCCATAACTATCCCATCTAGAAAACCATGGGGTATGCTAAATCCATGGATAACGCATTCTTTGCTTGGTTGACTGGTCAATGCTACTTGTGTCTAATGATAGATATGGATATTCATCTCCTTCATTTTCAAAGGAGGGTCAGGAAAATGCGATGACAACCCATACTCAAAAGATGTTCATTCATGCGTGTGTTTCACGGTTTATTGAGCAGAACTGGAAAAAGTAGGTGTCATAAGACTAATTAGGTGAATGATTTTCAAGTAGGTGTAGAATAAATGATAACAATGCTGCACATACAGGTTAATGCGATGTGTATAAGCAAATAAAGTGGAAATGCAACACGTTGATTGCCGGGCTTACTCTGTAGCCTTGCATTCTGTGTGTTTTAGGGAAAATGAGTGCCAGAAAAAGAGAGTTTAATTTTGGTGGCGGCTACCCAAGTTGTCAGCAACTAATAGCAACCTAAGTGAGTTGGCAAACGCTGAGTACCTTTCGTTCAGAAACTAATCTGAGAGCCATTCTCAGAAACATAGGAGTATTCCTTGTTAAGAAATGCAGATTATCAGTTTATCTGGTGACAATTCGTAAGGCGCCGTTTTTGGTTTGTTTGATTAAATTTTTAAGGACCTGCTCAGAAGCTATAATGAAACTGCACGGTTCAATCATGTTGTTAATTCAGTAGCATATACCTGCAAATTAGTCTGCGTTTTTTTTACTTTTATTACGTAGCTGAATTTCACTCAAGGTGTTCTTGCTGTGAAACTTTGCCAAGCCATACTTTGAGCTGTGATCAAACTCCACCTCAATACAGAATATCGTTTTTCATGGCCTGTATCATTTAGAAAAAAAAATCGCCCAATTTCACCATAAATTCACCATGCAACTCGCAAATATGTCTGAAAAACTGTTAATCTGAATGATGTTTGCTGTTAAATTAACTGAGCTGTCTGTCCTTAAAAATGGAAGCTACTTGTATTGCCGGAGGGCCATTTATATTTATTTTACACTTATTTACACTCATATTATTTATTTATTATAATTATATTACCTCCTTTCAGACAATAAATTTACTCTTTAGGTATGCATCATCCGATGGCATCGCTTCCCAAAATTAATAAAGAGATCATTGTTTCTCTGACAAGTTGGATGAAAACTCATTCGATTTTATTGAACTTTAGGCACGCAAATTTAATGTTCCGGACATTTAACTCAACAACATTGATGTCTTTTAGACTAAGATCGATTTCGAATACTCTATTCGTGGAGTGAAAGGAAAGCTAAGGGGAATGGGAAAATGACCACGATGACGACCACATCCTGGAAAGGACAATTTAACAAACTGGCATATAAACTGAGCCCAAATTAAGAATCTCACTAGAGAAGCTTTTATCCAGAAGGATAAAGCAAGCTATTTGCTTCCCTTTGATTTCACTACCTAATATATATCTTTATTCAGAAGGCAAATTTCATAACCGTTTTCACTTATTTTTTTATTTTTATCCTCTTTGAGATCATACATTCTACCAATAACGTAAGTCAGTAAAGGCGAAAATTTACCCGTTCTGAAGGGCTAACAATTCCGGACTCACTTGTATGGCCCAAGTGAGACTTGTATCAAAATATATCCGTTTTAGAAACTTAGACCTAATTTTCAGCGCATATTATTTTGTGAACATAGAAAAAATAAACATCCAAATGCCCACGGCAATTTTATCTCCAGACGTGAGCATAGCCGTGAATAGCAATTGATTGCGTGAAAAGAATTCATGCTCCCACGTGACATCGTATATTTTTGGCACTTGAATAGATATTTGCAACGACACAACATGTGAATCCTTGCCAAACCGTAGACTTTATGTCAGAACAGCCTGTATGATAATGCTGGTCGCTGAAGTTTCGGTATACGGAATAACTTTTTATTGAAAATAAACAACTTTATTTGATACTTTTATACACTTTAGTTTGGAAGTCGGTGAATGCATGTGCACCATCTAATTAATCCGTTTGTTTTTCATTCCATTGATTTCTCCATGTTTTCCTTTACATCCCATCTTAGAGGCAAGTGCTCAACTTAACCACACGCTTTCTAAGTCTAAGGCTGCATTGCGCCGGACACGCAAATACAGCACAATTATTTTGCATCGTCAAAGGAATGGAACCCACTTGCAAACTTTCAGTGAGATTCGCCGGCAACCTAGGAATAACACGACCACCAGCACCACTCATAACATCGCTTTATCCGAAGTGCAAATCGATCGGTCAGGAGAGGAACATATATTTGCTCATGATCCACTTAGCTTCACGCATGGTATGAACGTGGATAACAGCGCACAAATGATGCATGAAGCATCCGAAGTGTTACATTATCTCAGCATTGCAATTACTGGACTTTTTCTCATCTGCGTCATTATTAAGATCATTTGTTTGAAACGAAAGTTCCTTCGAGATACGAATGAGGTGAGTTGAGTTTTGCAGGTAGCCACATGTATGCCTTGTGTAGAAAACCTGCTTGCATCTTGTATGGTATTTGTCTTTGGCATGGAGAATATTTATTTGAAGCTTACAAAATATCGTTAAGAAAATAGATGAGTTAGAAATGACTACATGCGAAAAAAGTGATTGGCCTTAAAAAAGGTTCCAGCGGTTCTTTTTTCCAGAAGACGCACAATAGAGAATGTTTGGTCTCTTTAACACTAGACATGTGAAGAATATCTTTCTTATTAGTTTACTGATAACGATGTATCAAAGTTATTGGTGACCTCAAGAATGTACCAAATTGGTTGATATCAACAACGACTTTGGCAAAATTTGCAGCCCCAGCCTATGTTTGAAATCTTTGGGTATATTAAAGGCATTAATCAATTATGGGGTTGTAATTCCTGCTGTGTCCTTTCATAATCTTTGTATTGGCCCATTCTTGTTACAGACACTGTTGTTTGTCCCTTTCGCATATCTACCTTTGCCGAGCTAATTACAGCTAATCAGTAGATATTATACGTTCGTGTATTTTCACAACAATGCATTCTCTGCTTGCAAATCATGCAACCGCTCACATAACCAAGCGAAGGAAGACCACTATCGTACACACCATAGAGACCCTAAGTGGGCTAGGAGTTTTTCGCATGTGGTAAAATAAAACACCATCGATTTAACTTTTGTTATCATGGAGTGATTGCATCAACCAATAAGTTCTTCCCAACAAAGTGGGCATACTGAAATCTACGCATTTTGTCGTGGAAGTGATTGTTATATTCTACACGTTTCTAGCGATCACGTGACAGCTGGATTGGACTGCTTATTACTTTACTGCTTTATACTTTGCGTCTAATTACCTGTCAGTTGCCTGCATTTGGGTTTTTGTTACCAGTTGAGCTTGAGTGCATCGTGATTTGATTAACATGGGCTACGGAATTAGTGCCAGGTGCCAAAGTTACATTTTTGGTTATAAATGGGCAACAAGGATGGTAACGCTGTTTAGTTTTAACAGAATAAAATAACATAATGAAGGAAACAAATGTCGAAGGGGATATAATAGTGCATGCAACTTTTCGATTTGTAAATGGTGTATATGATAAACTTTGGTTGCCAATTCCTAAATTTTCTCCTGAAATATTCATGGTGATTGCATCAACTGAATAAAAGGGGCCGTGTTTTAAAGCACACCTGATTAAAACAAATTTGCAAGTGAAAGTCGGTTTTGTTATTGCAGTTTTCACACAACTTCACTAAAAGAGGCATTATGAAGAGCATTTGGAACAATACGGCATCCTTAAATGATATGTGCCACTTAGTTTTCTGCTGCTTACTCAAGACGCTACATATTTATGAATTTTTCAGAATATGCAGGTTTTTTTCTGGTAGACTTACTTCATATAAGTCATAGCATGAATATGGCCTCGTGTTTTAACAAGCACATCCTATTTTGTGAAAAGAGATAAAGCAGGGTCGATGGAGAATTAGCCGGTATATTTCTTTCATACCATACTTGATTCACTTTAGTCTGTACTTAAGCGTCAGTGTGTATTTCCACGTCCACCCCAGTTACTTTGCTCACAAAGAAAACCTTCAAGGCAATGCCACTGACACGATGGATGTGTCATCCAGTGGTTGTATCATGCCAGTAGAATATCACGGTGCGGTCTGGCTTATTTTTTGGGCGTTGTTTAGATTGCAATGGATGTTTGCTTTCAGATCCTCCTGATACAGTGATCTGCGATGACAGGTGAGGCAAGAAACGATATGCACGTTTGGGTGAATATCACTCACGTAACAACTGGCGGAATTAACAAAGCTGGGTCAGCTTAGCCGTGTGCCGAAAGATATTTCGGCACCTGTTGAACTATTCTCTATAGTCTTCAGACTGTGAACATGAGGAAAGAAACAAAGTCGGTGGTTGTTCCATACTGATAGGTGCAAGATTTTATCCACTAGTCTGGCATGTGTGGCAATGAATATCTGGGGTGTGACGCCGCAAATTCTTGCATGTTAATTACGACGAGACTGATACACGATAATATTATTAGGTTGCGGGTATTTGAAATTTAACTGTGCTAATTTCAATTAGTTTTACCTAGTAATTTGGTTTATGCCACGTGAGTTTTCCGAAAATCTTACTTAACATGTTTTGTCTGTCTTTATGAGAATTCATCCGCGAATCCAAATATGCCATGGCTGATCCATGTTTGAGGTGGCTTATGGTCAACAAGACTAAAAACATAGGCATCCTACCGTGATATATAAAACCGTTCAGTTATCATAAAACTTAAGATACACAGGACACTGTAGGCTTCAAAGTAGCACATAGAGTCGTTATGATATGCTACTTTACAACTCGGTTTACTGAGGTTTTTGATACCACGAACAATGTTCCTGCGAAGTAAAACCACGCAGGAACAACACCAGAACCATCCATGTCGGAAACCTTCATTGATAGCGTGATACGCTGCACTGTAAATTAGCCCCTAGGTTTACTTGGAACATCACAAACGAGAGATTCAGATGGTTTCTGGGTGGGTCTCTCAAAAAAAAAACAAATTAGTTTGCAAATGATTGTATAATACTGGGTTATTTTATTGGAGTACCGTCAGTTAGCATGTTGGGGGTATGCAGCGCAAATCCCCAAGGTAAGCGTTGCAGCCTCTGCTGCTAAACACAATTTCCTGACTAATAACGTGGCTTGAATAGACAAATGTGCTTGATATAAAAGTTCTCCAGTGTGACCGCTGGCTGCTTGGTGTGAAGCTGACACCAACTTTTAATCCATCATTCTGATGAAAACTGACAGAGAGGTACCCGAAATTGGCTAGGTCTTTCCCTCACGCAGACGCCGTTGTATCGGTCGACAGTGGGTCTCAGGTTTTTTCAGACTGTACACTGAAATAGCTTAAAAGAGTCATTAATAGATATTTCTGCTTTAATTTAGATCCACAGTCCATTTCCACTGGACATGTGATGAAAAGTTCCAGCTGAAGGCGAAGTATCCTGTGTTTTGTTCATTTCTACTTTCCAGGATTACAGCACACAAATTAGGTTAAAACAGTAGCCCGGTGTCATCCATTCACCGGGACCTCTAGAATTATATGATTAACTGTTAAAAGTTTTTTGGGTATATGCATGCATGGGCAATTAGTATACTATCCAAACACTGGGACTAGTCAGACACGGTAACAATAGAGTAATAATGTTACCTTTGCTTCGCAGCACGTTTAAGCAAACGCATTTGGGATCAGTGTTCAAAGCTCAAAGCGGTATTGTTTACAAATGTTTGCAGCACAGTTTGTTGGAAGTTGTTAATCCATTAAAAGCTAGTATTATTTTACCGCGGACTATAGATGTAACCGAGTCTTGATAATCAGCCAGTATAAAAATAAAATATGAAACATCTCAGCTACTTCTTAATTAATGTACAGAAATAGAGCATACTTATCTCGAGATATAAGCTTATCTGTAGGGTCAAATTCACGATGTATTTTTGTTGTTTTGTTGTTATGTGGGTCGGAAACCTGATCGTTACGAGATGAGGGCGCTATAAAACCATTAGTCTTTAAATGAAGATGTCTTCAGAGCATCATCCAGTTCTGGTGGGAACATTTTGTCAGTAGTGCTGAAGTAGGTCGAGTGGTTTTCAGAAGGAATAACTCGTACATAGTAGATGAACTGCTCACACTGCAAGGGTTGCGCTGGCTTGATCACATGCTCTGTATGCTAGTAGACTGGCTTCGTCAAAGAGACCTTTTTGCACACTCAGGTGAAAGGTGGAGATGATCTAGGGGTAGTCAATCAACGACCTGATAGCAAAGTATGAAAGCCTCTTCCGGTACACTAAGCCTCACTGGTCACTGCCGTCTCTATGGATGAAAACCCCAAGAAGTGACGCACCAATGGTTACGGACACTGAGGTATATGTCCTAATCTTGCGCTCATTGGCGTGCATGCATCCAGGCTGTTGCCTTTAGTGCTTAGCTTCCTTTACCCCGATTTCACTATAGAAAAGACTACTGTGATCTCTGTAGTAACGCATCAGTTGTGTCAGTTGTCACCACCAATGTATAGCTACCTAAATCGTAAAGTCAGCGAACAAAGCTTTAGCAGCAACTACCATTGTATAAAGAGTGCACGTCTTTAAAGCTGGAGATGGTAGTGATGATACTCATCAAAAAGGCGCCGCAAAATGTTTCATTATCCAGTGTACAGTCGACCTCTAATCGTACCATACATTCCTTGATATGGAACCCATTTTGTGTCCAAGTATATAGGAGCCCTCTTGTTACGTTTCGAAGAAGACGCATTTGGAAAATCAAAACTATTTCACAGAGTCATTGTAGTGGAGTTTGCAGTTGATCTGAGCGCAACCTAATGCAGTGAACAGCTGGTTAAGTTATATGGCTGAGCAGGTTTTTGGTCATGTCTTAGGTTGCACGGCTGTGACTTCTGTGAATCAGGCCACGCAAAAGTCAGGATGAATAGCAAAATTTAATAGTGTATGGTATATGCAATAACTTTTGGTTGTAATGAAACGATACTCGCAAAGCGTAAAATAATTAAACAAAACCATATTCCATCGTGCACAGTCAGGAATGGTTCATGACAAAGAAGAAATTATATGGACCCGAGATTTCCAGAAACGCTCAGGAAATGCTTTGCTTGTTTGTCTTTTCTTGTGAGGAGTCCAAATAAGCGTGCGTATTTCGGAAGGATACGGGGAAAATGCGGTCAGCGCATTGGAATAACGTAAAAGCCCGGTGGTTGTTGCCGTATACACACAATTACACCGAATCAAAATTCCTAAGAGATACCATGTTTGACTAGGTATTGTTTTCAGCGAAATATTCAGGATTTTCTTAGTTAGATGCAAAGTGGCACAATTGGCTTTATCTTCTTCAGGATCTACAAGACGCCAGGTGAATTTGGCACTCACTAATACTTTTAGCTACTATCCGTGTATAAACACGGGTTT